GGTCTCAGCGCCTAGAGCGAGGTGCGAAATTAGTAGCCGCCCACCCTCTTCGCAGTTCCCGCCCCCAGGGAATTATAATTTCCTGGGAAAGTGTCTGGTTCTCGGAGAATCCTTGGGGCGGGGTAAAGGGGCGCGCCCGGCGCAAAATGGTTAATACAAAGTCTGCACGCGCCGCGGGGCCCCTCGTATGAAAAGTGTACGCGCTGGTGGCTGGGCACCCCTTTGCTAATTTGAGGGTTAGTTACCGGCAGGAAGTCTGGCTGTGCGAGAGGAAAGGCGGGCAGGAGGGAAGCCTCAGGCTGGTGCTGGCTCCCGCCCCCAAGCCTCCTTGGGGGACGCACCTCGGACCCAGCGGGCGCAGGGTGCGGGGCACTGGGCCGGGGCGTTCGCGGCGGGCGGCGGGAGGCTGGAGCAGGCTCGGCCCAGCGGTTCACTCTCTCTACCTCCTCCCCGCAGGATTACCGAGAGGATGGGATGGATCTAGGCAGTGACGCCGGCAGCAGCAGCAGCAGCAGCCGCGCCAGTTCACAGTCCAACTCCACCAAAGTGACCCCTTGCTCCGAGTGCAAATCTTCATCGTCGCCGGGGGGCAGCCTGGACTTGGTGTCTGCCCTGGAGGACTATGAGGAGCCCTTCCCGGTCTACCAGAAGAAGGTGATTGATGAGTGGGCGCCGGAGGAGGACGGGGAGGAGGAGGAAGAGGAGGACGAGCGCGACCAGCGAGGGTACCGGGATGACCGCTGTCCGGCCCGGGAGCCGGGGGACGTAAGCGCCAGGACCCGCAGCGGCGGCGGCGGGGGCGGGGGCAGGAGCGCCACCACCGCCATGCCGCCCCCGGTGCCCAACGGCAACCTCCACCAGCACGACCCCCAGGACCTTAGGCACAATGGCAACGTGGTGGTGGCTGGCCGGCCGAGCAGTTCCCGGGGCCCCCGCCGGGCGATCCAAAAGCCTCAGCCGGCTGGGGGCCGGCGCAGTGGCCTCGGCCCGGCGGCTGGGGGGCTCTGCCTTCAGCCCCCAGACGGCGGGACGTGCGTCCCCGAAGAGCCCCCGGTGCCACCTATGGATTGGGAGGCGCTGGAGAAGCATCTGGCTGGGCTGCAGTTCCGGGAGCAGGAGGTACGGAACCAGGGCCAGGCGAGGACCAACTCCACCTCCGTAAGTTGGCCGGGGTGCGTGCCCACGCGCGCACACACGCGTACACACCCCGCGCACAGCCCTCACGCCCCCTCCCTGCGCTCCCGCCCGCCCGCGGCCCCATTCATTCTTCCTTGAGGGTGGGGGCCAGGCCGGAGAGCCTGCCGTCTGCTCCCCTGGGGATAAGGTTTCTCGGTCTGTGAGCTGTCTGGGTTTGCAGGATGGGCGGAGAGGAAGGAGGAGCAGCCAGAGGGCAGCGGAAAGTCGGGTTAGTGGAACCGGCGACTCATTTTAATGGAATTACTTATGGAGACCAGGTTGTGAGTCACTTGCCTGAAAATAAATCTGGGGAGATTCTGGCACCAAAAGTCAGTGCCTGCGGGGGTATTTCAAAACGTAATAGTTGTGGCTTTGTCAATGGTGGTGGCTCTCCTCTCGTTGCCACTAATGTCTCATCCGTATATAGGCTTGTCCCTATGCACGCGCACACATTCTCCTGCCCACACCACCGGTCTGGCAGCTGGGTTCGTTCCGTCTTGCGTTAAGCAGATGCTCCTGTATTTGGATGGGTTGATTTTCCTCCTCTAAGACTTTCTTCCTTTATGAAACCCGAGTTATTGTTGACCTGGGGGAACGGGGCAAATGGATCTGTCAGGATAAGGGAGGGGTTCTTCCCTCGGTCGCCTGACTCTCCCTCTGCTGTGAATCCCTCCTTGTTTTGATAACGGAGCCACTTACAGTTTCTTACCGGAGGCTACTGCCTCAATTCAGGAAAGCCAGACCGGGAGGGGTGCTGGAGTGGAAAAGAGGGAGGGAGGAGAGGAGGGCTGCATCTATAATAAGAAGCTCTGGCAGGTTCACACTTGTCTCAACATCTTTTTTGCCCCTGAGAGACGAGGAGATAAAGACTTAAAAGAAAACCATCATGAATGTAGCTCCCCTGTTTAGCACTGTTTTGAGATAAAGCAACAGTTGTAATTTGAAATCATTAATGATGATCCTAATTAGGGCTGAAGGGCATAGTTGAAGGGAGCTGCTTTCTGTGTGTGGCAGCTGTGTGGCAGGTGGGAAAATGCTTGCCTTGCAGGTGTAATTTTTGTGACACTAGGACCCCGGGGCTCCTAAAAATTGGGTGCATGCACTTCTGACTTCAGGGGTGAGGATGGTAACTGTTTCACAGAGAAATTTCCGTGGTTCTATCAGAGAAAACCCTTGGCTGACAGCCTGCTGGTTAGTTTCCCTTGGGAAACTACTTATGAAATTAACATACTTATTTTAATCCCAGCTGTTTAGGAGTTTACCATAGCCACTAACAGAGGTGGAATCTTTCCATGACAGCCAATACTGTCTCTTGTACCTTGCAATAGAAAATATCCTTTTCCCACTTTGTGCTTGAGAAAAATACCTCATTAATACCCGGGCTTGAACAATGACTGGGAAATAAACAAGAGGTTAGTTTACTATTGCATGACATTTATACATTCCAGGAACATTTAATAATTGGGCATACGTGCAAAGTTAGGGTTTGATGGTGACAGTGAGCTCCATTGTTCTAAAGTTGTGAAACAAATTGTTTTTGAGCTCCCATGTATGTGCTGTGTGCCAGGGATGGTTCTGAGTGCTGTGGTTACACATCAGTCCACATGGGGCTGAAATTCTGGTGAGGGAAGGTAGGGATACAGACTGCCTTCCCTCCAGGAACTTAAAATTTGATGGCTTACCTAGCACCACCTCATACCCCCACCCCCAACACATACACAACTCTTCTGGTTATTGTGAAGACTATGAATCTTTTCTTCTTGGGCAGTCTTTGAAACCAATGGTGTATCCTCACCTAGTGAACAGTTTGCATATTTGCATATTTGGGTTTCTTTCCTTCACTTCCAGCTTTCCTGGAAATGCCTCTTCTGGTCATTTCCTCTACAAGTTACACAGAGAAATTTAGATTTCATTGTGTCAAAGCAAGGATGTGTACAGAAAAAAGGGAAGAGGTGGCATTGGAGGTTAATGCTGTATTTTTTCATGTTTTGGTTTGTGTTTGAACAAAATTACTAGTCAATGTTGGTTTAGAATAGTGTTTTACAAACAGTAAGTTACCCATGAAATCAACTTAGCATTTTAAAAAAATGAAATAAAATAGAATGTTTGATAGTGTATTGCAGGGAGTCATAGTAAAGTTGGTGATTTTTAAAACTTTTGTTTAGTTTTATATGTATGCTGGGTTGCAACATAAAGTTTACTTCTCACTATGGGTCGCTGTTATAAAAGATTGAAAAGCACTGATTTAAATCCTGTTTAGTGCTGCCTGGAGTAAGGGAATTTATGACCATGAGGACAGAAACCTGAGAACAACAAAGGAGCCGTGTGGAAGAGAAGGCCTGCCTTGAGGGAACTGTTCAAATCCAATGATATTTTACTCCTCTTTAAAGTGTCTTGTATGAATATATTTAAGTGGCATTAATACACACCACTAGGAGTGGGGTATACAATGAAAAGGAGATAGCTTCTCTTCACCAAGTAAGCCTATTCCTACTTCTGGGCTTTTGCCCTTCTGTTACCTCTGCTTGGAGGCAAGTGTCTGGTTCCTTCTCATCATTCCAGACTCAGCTCAAGTCTCACCAGTTCAGAGAAGCTGTCCCCCACCACCCTTCCTAAAGTAAAGTAACAACACTCCACCCCAACTCAAGCACTCCTGGTGTATTGTTTTCTTAGTGCTTGTCACTGTCTGACATTATCTTATTTAGTTCTCTATTTTTGGTTCCTCTGAAATGTAGGTGGGAGTGCAAGGTTCTTGTCTGTTTTTTAACTCTATAACCTATTGCCTGGGACATTCCTGGGATGGAATAGGTTCTCAAATATTGAATGAGTGAGTGAATGAATGAATGAATGAATGAATGAATGTTTATAACAGCAACACAGCCCACACCTAATCCAACTCCCATTTTACAGTTGAGAAAATTGAGGCCCAGAGAGGTTAAGTGATTTGCCTCAGGCCCAGTGAGAAACTCATGAACAGGGTTTTGTTCTTTCTTCTGACACCAGTCTAGTTTTTCCCCGCTCTTTTTAATGCTTAAAATACTTTGAAATAAAAGGAAAGGAAGCAGCTCCCATCTCCCTGAAACTTAAAGGGTTTCCTATTGACAAGTCCCTTATTGCACTTCCTTAGAATTAAGGACATAAGTAAACTGGGAAATCATCAAAACTCCCTTACTTATGAGTCTCCTTTCACAGACAGGTTTTTGTATTGTTTTGTTTTAATGACATACTGTTGGGTTCTGCAGAACAGAATAGTGACAGAATTCAGGTCTCCTCACTCCATATCCATTGCTCTTTCCTTCCTCTCAGTTGCGGCGATGCACACAGAAGGATGACTGAAGTCTCAAAAATGGGATGACAATCAGCTGTCCCTAATTCAGGAAAGATTGAGAGGCAAATTTAAAAACCACAATGTTTAGGTGGGATTTAAAACCTAGCACTGACCTTCACTTTCTGATGGGTTTAAACAACTAATCTCTGTCTCTTGGTATCTGTGGAGGGTGATGAGCTTGGATGCTGTCAGGAACTGTCTTTGGTGTCAGAGCCTGCAGGGGCCTGAGGAGTCCTGATGGAAACACTCTGGTGACTGGATCCTTGCTCCGTCTCAGAGCTGGGGGCTCAAGACAGACCTCCAGCACCTGGCCAAGCCCTCCACTGTGATGTCAGCACCTGGGGCAGCCATATCCCCTGTAGTTTGCATTGTGCCTGGCACAAATAAATGCCTGACACATGCAGAGAGGGTGAGGGGCTCTACCCAAAAATCGGAACTACTCCCAGAAGTGCCCCTTCCATGGGCAGCCCCTACTCATCTGGTGTCAGTGTGCTTCTCACAGTCCTGCCCTGGGCTTGTATTCCCTCTTGTGGGTGAACCCTCTTATTAAATTCAAGGGCCATAGACACAGTAAAGAAAGGGTCTGGGGTTGGTGCCTTTGATTTCAGATTAGGAGTCCTGCTTGCGGAAGTTCATGTTTCTCTTAAATTCTTATCTTCTTGCCTACTGTGACTCTGGTGTGCAGGATTGAACAGTTTTCTCTCTTATGACAGCAGGCCACAAATAGTCGGCTTTCTCTCTTCTGCTTCTCCAGGACCTTAGTGCATCACTGTAGCCCTCTTGCTCCTGTTCAAAAGACTCTGTGGACCTGTCGCCAAGTAGGGTGGGAGGGCCACTGCCTCAGTGTACTCTTCCTCCTAAATGGAATATAATTACACATCTTTTTCTCTGTGTTTTTCCCTGAGGCTTCCTCTCCTTCAGGGGACGTGTGTTCCTCCATGTCTAGCCTGTTTTCTGTCTCTGAAGACTCAGCCCATTTTGACTTTTTTCTTTAAAAATAGCTTTATTGGCCAGGCATGGTGGCTCAGGCCTGTAATCCCAGCACTTTGGGAGGCCGAGGCGGGAGGATCACCTGAGGTCAGGTGCTCAAGACTGGCCTGGCCAACATGGTAAAACCCCGTCTCTACTAAAAACGCAAAAATTAGCCGGGTGTGGTGGTGGGTACCTATAGTCCCAGCTACTCAGGAGGCTGAGGCAGGAGAATCACTTGAACCTGGGAGGCAGAGGTTGTAGTGAGCTGAGATCGCACCATTGCACTCTAGCCTAGGTGACAAGAGTGAAAATTTGTCTCAAAAATAAAATAAAAAAAAATAAATAAAATAAAAATAGCTTTATTGCAGTATGATTGACATACATCAGCTGTACATAGTTAAAATGTACAATTTGATGAGTTTTGACATATGTATGGCATATGTATGTGTTTTGACACACCTGTGAAACCATCATGAAGATCAAGATAACGAACATATTTAGCATCCCCAAAAGTATCCTTGCACTCCTTTATAATATCACCATCTTATCCCTAGGCAACCAACTGATCTGATTTCTATGTTATAGATTAGTTTATGTCTTCTAAAATTAACATACGAAAATGGAATCACACAATATGTGTGGATTTTTGTCTGGCTTCTTTCACTCAAAAAGTGATTATTTTGAGATTCATCCATGTTATTGTATATATCAGTAGTTCGTTCCAACACTTGCTGAATAGTATTCCATTTTGTGGATATACCATTTTCATCTGTTGACAGACACATGCATTGTTTCTAGGTTTTGGCTATTACAAATAAAATTGCTATGGACACTCATGTACAAGTTGTTTTACAGATATACACTTTATTTATTTATTTTTGGGACGAAGTTTCGCTCTTGTCACCCAGGCTGGAATGCAATGGTGCTATCTTAGCTCACTGCAACCTCCGCCTCCCGGGTTCAAGTGATTCTCCGACCTCATCCTCCTGAGTAGCTGGGATTACAGGCACCCACCATCATGCCTGGCTAATTTTTGTATTTTTGTAGAGATGAGGTTTCACCATGTTGGTCAAGCTGATCTTGAACTCCTGACCTCAGGTAATCCACCTGCCTCAGCCTCCCAAAGTGCTGGGATTACAGGTGTGAGCCACTGTGCCTGGCCTGAATATACACTTTCATTTTTCTTGGGTGAATAACTAGAAGTAAGAATGGCTTGATCATGTAGTAGGTGTATGTTTACCTGTATAAGAAGCTGCCTAACTGTCTTCCAAGGAAGTATTTTTTTACTTTGCCATCACATGATGCTTAAAGCAATGAACGAGGTTTCCCCTCTTTCCCATTGCTCTATTCCATCTGCATCCTGCTTTCCAGGACACCTCCCTTCAGGTGGCTGGGTGGCTGCTTCCTCCCTCTTAAGAGAAAACAAGAAGAGAGCAAGGAGATCACTTGTTACATCCAACCAGTCTTTACTCCTGTTGTTTAAAAAAGGAATCGTTTTTAAATTAGAGAAGAGCTCTAGTTGTAGACTCAACACATTTTAAGTGCAGTTTTATTATTTTTTAGTGCCTATGACAGGTGCATTTTCCTCATTTAATGAGAAGATAAGAACAATTTTAATTGACAAGTTAATTGAAAGCAAATTCTTCTGACGAAGTTATTTCCAAAGTACTTGAAAATAATTTGTCTTTTTATTTGTTTATACTATTAGCTAGTAGCACACTTTTTAAATTACCTACATTTTTTCCTAGAATGGTACTAATTATAGGTTATTTTCAATGTATTATTCTGTAAGAATTATAGCCCAGTTACTCCTTCCCCATCAATGACGCTACTAAAGTAGCTTAAATGGCTGAGTAGTTTATTTCCTTAGTTACTTGGGCTATGTTTAAATTACACAAGTTTCTGTTTTGTAGACTGAATTAAGATGTCTTTAGTATTCCTACAAAAATAGTAAAGTTTATAAGTTTAATAAGTTGTGTGATTCTGCAGCCTGGGGCACAGCATTGAAAGCATTCTGTGTGGAATGCAGCTATCACTTATTCCTGTTACTTGGAGAGCATGACATGACAGTGTTAATTTTTTTTTTTTAAACTATAACTGGAAATTACCAGAGTGAAATGTATTGTGCTTCAACCTTTTTCCTTGAAATATCTTGTACTATAATGAAAAGTTCTTTGCCTACTTTCCTATTTATGATAATTTTTGCTTAAGAGCTACAAAGGCTGCTCCGTCTACTGGCATGTACTCTAGACTTCAAAGAAATATGGTTAGGTTTTTGTCTTTTTTAAAAAAAAATTAGGTTGCAGGTAAACCACAATTCTTAATTTAAACAATTCCTAATTTAAACAATTCTTAAAATTTTGAAAATATACCGTTAGTTCTGGGGCTATGTGTGTGTACAATTATTATTGGATGGATCATTGCATTGTAGAACAGTCTTTGAAAATGTAGTTTGATTAAAAGAAATCTTTGCCTACCAATTAGTTTGCACATAGTGGACCTTTAAGTCATCCTCCGGAAAATTTTCAGGATGCACATCTGAAAAACAGAGGCAGATATTCTTATCACACACTTGCAGAGCTTCTTGAACACCTCACCTCCCTCCATCGCTTCCCGCTCCGCCTGCATTTCCAGTTTCAGACTCCTTGCTGGCATTCCTGACAGAAATCTCACACCTGACAAACATCAGGCCAGACTCATCAATTTCTGATTTTGATTCCTGGCTCTTTTGGTGACATCATAACTCCTTTTTTTTTTTTTTTTTTTTTTCAGACAGTCTCACTCTGTC